TTCCCAATGAAATGTAATACTTTTCTTTGTTAATACTGTAAAATGTATAGTTTTTCCTAATACTGTTAGGTATTCTTCACGTGTCTTGGTATCTAATATGTCAGCAGATATTCATTATGTTTAATGTGTGCCAAAAGCTGTTTTGTCGTCCCAACCATTTCGGTATGCCAGTAACCCCAAGTCACATCAAGTGTTAATAATAACGAGCGCCTTAAGGCGGTATAACACTYCAGTKATTCGWCATCCGCAATTTGTCATCTATAGCAATAKCGTTGTCTTCTATAATTTATGCTTAATTGTTCTCCACCGTCTTTCTTTGATACCATAATAACCAGGAAAGCATATTGGCTATTCTTAATTTTACGTCCTTTGCCTTCTCTCGAATCATTTTTACAATCACGTCGTATTCATTTTAATGTCGGCGGTAAGGACTGAGTCAAATTGATGTACCAGTAGATGGCTTCGTAGCATTCGTGTTTACATTTACTATTCTCATGACAAGTTGTATGGTATCGTTATTGTCAGCCATTATTAAAATAATTACTTATGTTTTAACGTAGTGTGGTTGTTAGGTGTTGGCTTCATCTTGATGCTCATGCGTTTAAATGAGCGTTGAGTACATAAAATGGTTTATCAGTTCAGTATAATGTATTGAATATAAGCAGTGATACATGTATACACAGCGCTATCGGCCACTACAATAGAGTTCTATAGTTTATGATTACTTTGCTTTGTATTTTGGGAGTGCAATAGAACTATGCCTCACGTCCCATAGACTAGCGTTTTGTCATAAACTATGTGTCCGATAACATACGTGAATGTATAACCGATATACCAAATGTATAGCTATACTGATTTAACGGTTTAAAAATTACCAATGTGCTTTAATCAGTATATTCGATCCACGACGAAAGGTTGAAGTTCAATGTATGTATATACCAGCTACGCCCAAAGCCATATGGCTCGGACTCAGCGCCAGTCTGGTTATGTTGATCTCTTTAGTGATCTCGAATTCTTTAGTGCTGGCGTGAGGGAGTTTCGGTTTATACGTCTTTAGTAATTACGTATTACTCTGATATTAGGTTAGTTCATTCCAGTAGTTTGTATAACATATCTGTGAATCCATCAATTTGTGTTTGGTGGAAATTCGCATACTTCACTGCTTCCACCAAATGCAAGGAACATTTGGTTAAAACGTATTTTGTTTCATTTAGGATTTCGTATCCTCCAACGCTGTCATCAAGTGTAAGGAACATGTGGTTAAGCGTGTTGTTTTTTGTGGAATATCATTCGCTGAAACCAAATGTAAGGGACATTTGGTATATACGTATTGTTTCTTTTGGGTATTCGAAATCCTCCAACGCTGTCATCAAGTGTAAGGAACATGTGGTTAAGCGTGTTGTTTTTTGTGGAATATCGCATCCTCCACAGTTCCACSAAATGTAAGGCACATTTGGTTTTTTTTCAATTTTAGTTTATTTGTGAAATTTCGTATCCTCCACTGTTTTCACCAAATGTAAAGGACATTTGGTATATGCATATTGTTTCTTTTGGGTATTCGAAATCCTCCAACGCTGCCACCAAATGTAGGGGACATTTGATTTCATCGCTTAGTGATTCTCTTTACTATTTATTAAGCTTTTTTTCTGTCTTAAAACGGTGTTTCAATTTCCAAATGTGCATTAATCAGTGCATTCGACACATTACAGTTTGTAAGTTTAGTATATGTATAACCAGCTACGCCCAAAGCCATATGGCTCGGACTCAGCGCCAGTCGGGTTAAGTTGATCTCATCATTAACTTGAATTTAAGTTATACAAGTTTCATTATTATTAGTTTCATACGTTTTGAAAATAAATAGTAGTCATTATATTCGAAACGATGAACCAGTCTTTAGATGCTTTAAATTTGTGTAACTTCAAATTCTCCAATTGTGTCATCAAACGCAGCGTATTTTTTTCGCTGCTGCACCAAATGTAAGGAACATTTGGTTTATACGTCTTTAGTTTCGTATCCTTCAACGTTGCCAACAAATGTAAGTCATTTGGTTTATTTTTGTGGTGATTCGCATCCACCAYCGCTGCCACCAAATGCAAGGGAAGTGGGGTTATCCCGGGTATATTTACTATATGAACACTATGAGTGTTCACTAACTCGTGATGTAAACCCTACTATTGCTTAAAGATTAAGCCCTTACGTTGCCCTGCACGTACCAGCATTATTATATATATATATATATATATATATATATATATATATATATATATATATATATATATATATATATATATAYATTATTTATAAAAATAACTAATTAATTTTAGTATAGAAAAAAATWTACAAAAAAACCAATAAAAAATCAGTTAATATTGTACATGTATAAYATTAATAATAATAATAATAATAATTGAAATTGTTTAACAACAAAATTAACATAATAACACAAACAAACAACAAGGTCATATTGATATTAATTTTTTTTATATATATAACTGTATTATAATATTCAATATTATTTTTCTAATACTAGACACTGTTTTTTAATAGTATTTTATTGTTTGAAATATTATTACAAAATATTATTATAAAAAATCTTAATTATAACCTTATATTTAACATAAACAAAATAATAATAATAATACAGATAGTTATTATATTTATTAATAATAATATGTTAGATTACACTTTATTGATTACAAATTAACTATGCTAATTTTATTTAACAACTAATAAAATTATTATTGTTATATATATWTATACAGTATATATTGTATATAATATAAAGTGTTAATAACTATTAGTTTTATCAAATTTATTAAACTAAATAAAAAAATATATTTTAATATTTCAATTAATTAATTAAAATAAACATATTTTAATCAAACTATGAATATCAACTTGATCAATTTGCTAACAAAACTATTGTGTCTGGGTGGTTTTCTATATCAATCATATAAAATTAGTGCCATATATTTTTCCTACGATACAACAACCAACGTTAAGTTTGAATCGAGTAGACAAATACAATTGCCAGCCATAACTATATGTCTGAATAAATTAAGCATGATCAATCGTACACATCCAATAGTCCGGGATAATTATCTAAGCAATTTGACCCTGTACAAATATACAAACGGTTTGGATAGTCGAAAATTTAGCCGTCTCAATCTAAGKGAACAGTTGCCATTGTTTAAGCAAGTTAATAATATTAGCTATTGTTATGTACAAAATGTTACCGGCTATCATAACAGTTTTAGCCACTGTCAACGTAAAGTTCACTATCGACTAGCAATTGATTCGGGATCATTTTGTTGGACAATTTTTGCCCAATGGYTAAATGAACCAGATAGTCTATATCAAATACAAAATAGTCAACGATCATCAGATTATTTGTACCAAGTAAGCATTTCAAATAAATCATGGTTACCCCATCAATCGTTAACAATGTCCATACATTCGCGCCGTGAACTAATCTACGATAGCTATCGTAAGGGTACGTTTCGCTTGAATATGAATAACAGCGATACGTGTTACGTACGATACAAGAAAACTGTAATGTCATATAAAACTAGTAGTAGTAGTAGTCAACAATGTTCATCGATAGTTGGCCGTAATCAATGTCAAATGGAATGCCAGATTAGAAAATCGATTAAAAAATATGGCTACTATCCGGCAAATTTACTATGGCATCCGGATCTACAAAATCTAACTGGCCATCTGACGTTTAACTATACGTATAATTTGAATATTACCCGTGCTTGCGATTTGAAATGTTCGCAAGTAGTCGATTGTCGACAATATTACTATTCCATAGACTATCGCAAACAAACTAACATGCCCGGTTACCTTGGCAACCAGTACGCCATTTTGATTTACGCGCCACAGGAACCGGAAACCGTTTACGAACTTACGTCTAGACTTACGTTTGAAGAATATTTTTGTCTAATCGGTAGTCTATTGAGTCTGTATTTCGGATTTTCCGTAGTCCTGTGTACTAATTGGCTAAATAAATTTGGCTCAAAATTTACCATGCTTAATCTACAGTTTGTACCAAACTTTAATTTTAATTTTTATAATTTTAATCAAAATAATAATCAAAATAAAAATAATGTTTCTACTGGCGTATTTCTTAAACCTCATAGTAAATTACAGTTAACAAATAACTTATCATCAGTAGCCAATAATAATTTATTTACCATGGTCAATAATAGAAATAGAAAGCTAGATTTTGATTATAAAAATGTACAACCTAAAAATTATTATTAATTATAATTAATTAATTTTTTGTTATTTTTTGTGTATATATTTATATTATTTATTTATCTAAAATTATTATTATAGTTAACCATAATATTATATAAAATAGTTATAATTTATATAGTATATAATATTAAATTAAATWTATATAATATTCATTTTGTTTGTTGTTATTGTATTATTAATTAAATTATTTAAAAAATTTAACAAATAATAATAATAATAATATAATCAATAAAATTTTATATACTGAAAAAATATTCAATGATTATATTTATTGTAATATTATAATAAATTTATTGATTGTTTAATAATTTATTGATTGTTTAATAATTTATTATTTTCTTACATAATAAACAAATCTAATTTAATATATATATTTTACATGTATTGCAAAAAACACATACAGTAATTGCTAATCAATAGTAACAACAACAAAAAAAAAACACAATAAATCATTATTTTAATTGATATATTGTAACTATTTTATATATATATAACAAAAATTTTAGTTAAATAATTTAGAATTTTTTAATTGTTTTAAAGTTTTTAAACTAAAACAAAAATTTAAATATTTATTTTTGACCATTACTACTACTACTACTACTACTACTACAAACACTACTACTACTACTACTACTACTACTACTACTACTACTACTACTACTACTACTACTACTACTACTACTACTACAAACACTACTACTACTACTACTACTACTACTACTTTACTACTACTACTACTACTACTACTACTACTACAAACACTACTACTACTACTACTACTACTACTACTGACTACTAGTAGTAGTAGGATAGCCAAGTCCAACAAGATGACCGATACGTTTAGTATCATCGATACAATCAATTGTAATACGTGCCAAATCCAATCTGGAAATGCTACTGACTCCTGACTTGTTGATTGGTTTATCATTTGTTAGCAAATAATTACCGCTAGATGGAATATCTTGATAAAAAATTATATATATATAATTTTAAGATAATCATATAGATATTTAACTAATTTTTTYTTTATAAATTTTAATTTTATAATAATAATAATAATAGTAACCTTCCACATAGGACGGACATAGGACAGTCCATTGACGATCGGAATCTTTTAGAATTTGCAATTGTCTAACATGTTCCTTGTATATTTCCATATATGCACCAGGTATTTTAGCAGGTTCCCAAAATAAAAATGCTTTTTAAAAGATAATTAATTAATTTTTAACATATTTAAAAAAACATATAAAAATTGTATTTAAAAATATCATGTCTMCCTAATTGCTATGGCAACAATAAACAAGTACATCTATACACCTATTGTACAATTACTTGTACTCAGGGTTTTAAAAATGGCAGGCATAAACAATAGATGCCAATTTTGCCAAATGCCTGCCCTGCCTCTGCCATGCCCTGGGCATCTATTTTCAGGTGGTGACACCTATTATTTTAATTTTATATTATTAATTAATTTATAAAACATTGTTTTTATAATATATTTGCTTGTATTTTTGTTTTGTATACCTTTAATTAAAAGGTAATATCATTGGAAATAAATAAATTAATTGTAAATTTAATTAACACGCTAAAACACTAAATTACATTATTTTATAAATACAGTTGCTTTTTAGCAATTTAAATTGGCAGGCAAATAAAATAAATGCCCAAAATGCCAGGCATTTATGGCATCTATTTGGGCATTGCCAGGGCAGGCATTTATATTCTTAAAACCCTGCTTGTACTACAGTAATTATTTGTTTATTGTTGCTATAGCAATTAGGCAGACATGACATTTTTAAATATAATATAAATATAATATAAAAGCGTGGTTCACATATTACGTTTGCACATGAGGGTAGCGGGGGTTAGCCAAAGTGAACTTTTGCRAAYGAGGGGGAGGGGATGGGTAGAGACTYTAAGAACGTTCRYATTTAGATATTTTATTTTTTGTGGTGCGGGGGATGGKAGCGGTTAGGGACCAGCAAACGTAATTTTTAAACATGACTACATGGGAACAATTGGGGCGGTCTAGATTTCTTAAAAAGGCGAACGTAATATGTGAACAGCCCATAATCTTTTTTTAAAAATTATTTTTTACATAAATTACGTCACACAACACACAGACACATCAACATTGARTAGGACGTACTTGMTATACAACACACTATACGCTGGACGTTATGCGCGCGCATRGCTTTGACAATGTTGGCCGTGCCGGCCGACAGTGTAGTAGTGGCGGACAGGTTGTCACGCGTACCCAACGCTACGATAACCGTATCGTGCGATCGGACAGCCCGGTCGACAGCCGTATAGTCCATAACATTGCCGACCGTTATACTGTCGGGTACTACTGTTGATGGCAATGTTTTGGGGTCTCTCAAAAATACTGTTACTTTATAACCTTATTTAAAAATAAAAATTTTGMAATTTTTTGTATTATTGTTAGTGTAGTTAAATTTTTATTTATGTTTTTAATAAAATWAATAAATAAATAATAAATAATCACCTTGTTCCAATGCATKTTTAACTATTTCAATACCAATGTAGCCGGTTGCACCAAATATTATTAATTTTTTATTATTTATACTAGTTGACATTTTTTAATTTTTAATTAAATATAAAAATATATAATATATATATATTGTGTATTTAAAAAAAATTAATTAATTWAATTACAAATACACGTTGCATATAGAAAATAAATAAAATWTTAAAAAATAATAATTACTGTACATATATACACATGTAWATATATATTTTTTAATATTAAAATTTTTATTAATTGCAAGTTGTTATTAGTTGCAAATCATTTTTTTTAATTTACTAATAATAATAATAAAAATTTTATAAAAAAATTGATTATTAAGTAAATAAATTAGAAAATTATTTACAAAAACAAAATACAAATAATAAATAAATTATATAAATTAAGTTATTATTATTATATTTACAATATATAACAACATTAAACTTAAATACTGTATTATAATACGTTTTTTTTAGTTAATTAATACAAAAAATAACAAAAAGCTAAAAATTTTAATAACTACTAATAATACTATTTTTTTATTACTTAAAAATTTTAAATTTATAAATCAAAAATTGCATCAGGGTCATGGTTAATAGAGCTGCCGATATGAATCCCAAATTCAGATAAACAAATAGCATTGGATTATGTTGTAGATAGCGGCCGGTTAGCTGAGTTAGTATAATGTTTAGCAAATTTAATGATACAATAATCAGTGCACCTATACTATCGTTTACGGGTACTATACGTTCGAGTAGTGTATACAGACTGGGAGATAATGGACCGAAACCGGCACCAAACAGTACACAGGAGGCATACAWACAAGCAGTTARYTGTAATTGATTGACAAATACTAGCAATAGTGTCGATACAAACATTACAGYCAAACTAGCAAACAATATTAGAYTGGGACTGACATACCTGATTAACACTATACACRATAGTTGACTAACTRCCTGTCCTATTGACATTGMGGTAGTCATAAATGCCGATTKGGATTGACTAATAGTATGGTTTTTTAGCCAACTGATTGGGCAAACGACGGAAATATGTTATTTGTTGTGTTAGTACGGCTACTGTTTCGGCAAACARGGCTATCGCCAGAAATATTAGACATGATTTTTKASGGTTGGCGCCAAATCTGATCGRATCTGTTCGGGTAAACCGTTACAAAATAAACGAATTTTTTCCCGAAATTTTCCCGTTTGTCTAATATTTGTATTATTATTATTAKTAGTAGTAGTAGTGATAGTAGTAKTAGTATTATCTATGACACTATCSMAACCAATTGATCTRGGTACATATGGTTTCAATAAAAATAGCATGCCCATTATTAAACCGCACACTATGTTCATCAAYCCTATAATCAGATAGGGTRYGACAATTATATTATGACCATTTYTAACTATACCCAAATACGGYTGTACYATCAATGGTCCGACAATWGYCGATAGGCTGTTAATCATACTACTAGTTTGCATATAKGGKCCGCATTTGTCGGCAAACATTTCCACTATCCATACATCCGATACAAACATAATACCAGTAGATATCAGACTGTATAGTATCATATCAGCAACAAAATAGCCTAATCCAGGCAATCGTGGCATAAGTACTATAGCTATGCCCAACAATAGCAGCATAATTGTATAGATGAGCTGTTTGTTTATAAAACGACATAATATGTTGACTATATATATATACAGTATKTKWGAAAAAAATATTTTTAGTATATTAAATAAAAATAATAGTAATATATCAGCATGTATGTGTATGTGTATGTGTATGTGTATGTGTATGTGTATGTGTATGTGTATGTGTATGTGTATGTGTATGTGTATGTGTATGTGTATGTGTATGTGTATGTGTATGTGTATGTGTATGTGTATGTGTATGTGTATGTGTATGTGTATGTGTATGTGTATGTGTATGTGTATGTGTATGTGTATGTGTATGTGTATGTGTATGTGTATGTGTATGTGTATGTGTATGTGTATGTGTATGTGTATGTGTATGTGTATGTGTATGTGTATGTGTATGTGTATGTRTATGTGTATGTGTGTGTGTATGTGTATGTGTATGTGTATGTGTATGTGTATGTGTATGTGTATGTGTATGTGTATGTGTATGTGTATGTGTATGTGTATGTGTATGTGTATGTGTATGTGTATGTGTATGTGTATGTGTATGTGTATGTGTATGTGTATGTGTATGTGTATGTGTATGTGTATGTGTTTTTTAATCTATAATGCMAAAAAAATTATTACATAAAAATGATAATATGCCAATTGATGWACTTATGGAAAATATATTGGATAGGCCAGCTAGATCAGTTTGATAGATAGTTGAAAAATCTACCAAGCTAAGTCCAAATATTTTAGTTATCAACTGCTRTTAATTACAAAAATTAATTACATTATATATTATTATATATATTATCAAGTTTAGTTAGTAATTTTCAACATTAACTAAATAAAAATTATTTTTAAAAGTACATTAAATATAATTTTTATATATATATATATACATTAATAWCTTTAATATAATTGATTTTATAAAATACTAATTTAATTAAAWAAWAAAACTTACATTGGTAAAAACACAAATGTATAAAAATATTAACAATATATACTTAAATTTTAACAATGATTTCATTGTTTATMTTATCAAATGATTATTAATTATATAAATTATTTTTTTAGCTCTAATTGAAAATATAAGTAATTTTATTTTAATTATACAATTTTTTTTAAAAAAAAATTATTTAATATTAAGTAATTTTATATTTAGACAGTTTGCTAGATGATATAACAAAATTTTTACATTTTTATAATAGCTAAATATTTCTRACATATTTTAGTGATAAWATRAAATAACTATAAAAAATATCTTTTTAATTAAATTARTATTWATKATAAATAATATTTTTTAAACTTATAATTAGTGGTTTTTATTTTATAATTTTTTTTWGTTATTTTGATTATATTTTTTAATTTTATAAATCAATATTATGTTGTTGTMAAAAAAAAAAATTAATTATATTGTATATAAAATATTGAAAAAATCATATAATTAGGTATTTTATTTTAATTGTACTTTTTAAAAATTTAAAATTAAATGAAAAACTTGTATTATATAATTATTTTTTGMATATTTTAGTAAATTTTTATAAATGAATTTACATAATTATTTTGAAATAACATTGTATTATATAATTATTTTTTGCATATTTTAGTAAATTTTTATAAATGAATTTATTATAATTATTAAGTTGAAAAAATATTTTCACATTTTTTTTGTGCATACATTTTTTTTTATACATTATTTTTTTGTATATATAATTTTTAAAAGCAATAAAAGTAACAATCATTTTTAAAATATAATTATTTTATTTGCATAATTAAAGCAAACAAGTTTAAATAAATAAAAATTTACAAATGTTTTTATTATAAATATATATATATTTTTGAAAATATAATTGTTATTTATAGATAATTTTTATATAACAATAATTACTTTTTTTTAAAAAACTCTATTATATGTTTTTATAGTTTTTATATTAGCTAATTTAATAATATATATATATATATATACATATATATATATATATATATATTTATTTATATTAATAAAAAAAWATATATATAAATTAATTAATTTAATGTATATTATAAAAAATATATACTTAAATTTATGGCTATAAATATTATAAACGATTTCCTAAACGATATAATTGATAAMAACATTATYGTAAACAATATTATATACATAACCATAATTATTAAAATAACTGTCAAATCAATTTCAGGGACATAATTGTTGAAAATAAAAGATCCAATGATATCTACATAGATATTACATTCAWAAAAAAAATAAAAATATATTAAATAAAATATAAATTAAATATAAATTAAAAATTAATTTCAAAAAATAAATAAATTAAATGTTATATGATATCTAATATTAATAATWWTTAAAAAATATAATTAACATTTTTAAAAAAAAACATTAACTTATAATTTAATTTAATATATATATAATAAAACAATATTGAATAAATAATAATAWATATAATTACAATTGTTTTTASTATTATTATTATTATTATTATTATGATTATGATTAGTATTATCTTCATGTATGAATCGGGCGCCCATCTCCCCGGCCAACATTGCCGCGGCATTTGTATTGGCATTGATTATCTCCGGATAGATGGAYGAGTCGACTACACGCAACCCGCGGATACCTTTGACACGCAATCTGGGGTCGACTACAGTATCCCTACGGCGGGGATCACCCATACGACAAGTGCCCACTGGATGATAGACACTACCCGACCAGTTATCGATCAGACAGTCAATATAGCTGAGACATTGATGAACAGGTAGACCACCACCACCACTAGCAGTTCCCGATGGGGAACAGTAGCTACACGGCGGATACGGTTGTTCAGGTATACTAACATATTTGCCGAAACTGGTCGACTCGACAAATCGAAAAACATCGGCCAATGCCCGCCGAAATCGGTAGCGATCACTATTTGCCGACAAAAATTGCGGATCAATTACTGGCTGATCCTGAATACTATTTGATGACAATCGGACCGAACCACGGCTCAGGGGTCGGACAACTACCGGACATAGTGTCATATAATCGGTGGGCATATCTGCCAGTGGACTGTTTGAAGCGGTAGCTAAACATTCAACATAGATATCCGGATAGTCCTGATTATTGGTAGCCGATGCCGATGACCAATACATTATGGCTCTGGGAAACTGTGCCATTGGCCCGGTACCCTGGACAACGGCATCGTACAGTACCGATAGATTGCCATTGATATTGTTGCTATCAACGGGATCGGCTGCCGGTCTGACCATACCCTGCCGGACAATCGGAAACTCGACGGCCATTGCCAGATGATTGGCCAGGTTTTGGCCGACACCGGGTATATCGGCATAGATTTTGCCGATACTTTTAAACGATTGTAAATGTTTGGCCGGTCCGATACCCGACAACATTAGCAACTGTGGACTACGGATTGTACCTAAAAAAAATTTTTTGCAACAAAAATAGTTAATAAAAAAAATTTTTTAAATTAAATATTATTATTATATATATATATATATATAGTATACTTATATTAATATAATATTGGCAATAATATAATAAACTTATTCATACAAAAAAAAATTAAATATTTACAAACAAAACTAAATACTATACTAAATACTAAACTATTTACTAAACTATTTACTAAACTAAATACTAAACTAAATACTAAACTAAATACTAAACTAAATACTAAACTAAATACTAAACTAAATACTAAACTAAATACTAAACTAAATACTAAACTAAATACTAAACTAAATACTAAACTAAATACTAAACTAAATACTAAACTAAATACTAAACTAAATACTAAACTAAATACTAAACTAAATACTAGACTAAATAATAAATTTTAATTATAAATTCACAAATATATTATATACTGTATATACTGTATATATATATACCGGTATATATTACCTGCCGATAAAATTACTTCCTTAATTGCCATTACATTATGTGTTGAATTGTTTTTAATAAACTCGACTCCCTGTGCCCGAGGAGGTAGATCACCATTATTATTATTATTATTATGTGTGATAATTATTTTAGATACCACGGCTCCGGTAACTATTGTCAACTGAGGACACAAACCACTTTCCAGATAGGCATTAGTAGTCGATGACCGCAAACCCCCCCGGCCTATAGTCGACTGTGCAATTGTAAACCCCGTTTGATTTGCGCCATTAATATCCGTATACTCGAGACCCCATTCACGGGCAGCTTCAGCCTGTTTCTGGAATATCGGATCAATATCATCGGGTGTGGACACACCTACCGGTCCCTGTCGGCCGTGATACTGGTCGCTAACTCGGGGGTCGGTATTGTTTTCAATCTGTTTAAATACTGGCAAAACACT